AATTTAAAATAAATAATGATGTTTGAGACTTTTATCCCTCTTCTTAATGTGGCTGAAACTGCCCACTGGGAGACAGAACAGCCACAAGAGATTCGTTTCCCATGAAGCTCTTAAATACCAGGCAGTTTTGATATCTCCTCCGATGTCAATAAAAGAATCAAATGGTTCACACAGCCAGTCTTCCACACAGAATCAAGGATACTGCCCTAGCATTAGGGCACTTCCAAAAAAACACTTCTGTCAAAGGCCACAGTAACAACCTTATGGAAAAATCTGCAGAGTATATCACACATGTTTTTCCTTTAACAAAAGCATAGGCATATACTCCACTGTTTAAGACTAGCCTCCAATAAAAAACTGGTAATTCCTTAGTCTTCATTAACCTCAAGTGACTTCTGTGGAAAATTCAGCTTCCCTACTAAATTCACTTTGACATATGTGCTTAATTACATTCATATTAATGGCTCACACATATATAAAGAAAAGGTCTAAGAAACAATAACATCTTAAGACAAATTGAAATTATTTCGGTCAAACGTGTCATTTGGTGCCAAGAGGCAGAAGAGCTTGAATCATCTCGTACAACCGAAAAGCAAGAACCCACAACTCAAGTGCTAGTCTTGCTTCCTGCACCAATTAGTTTCACCTTAGAAAAATCACTGAAGTTTTCTAGGCCACAATTCCTACCCTTGTAAATATTAGTTAGAGAATCACCGCTCATATAAACTTCTAAATATAGAATAGCACAAAAACAATGAAGTAGCATTATATGAGCATATTACATAAGCAGCAGTGTCCTCTATCATATTTTGCCTGTTAAAAAACAGCCATACTAAAACCTTTCATTAATTCAATTTTTCATTAAAAAACAAGTATTTGCAGGAAGTTGCGGGTACTTACTTAAGCTGCTTAGCTGGCGTATGATAGCAGCAAGAGTACTGTTAGTTACACATTCCAGTTCACTGGTAATTCCCTCAGGCAGAGCTCCTCGGCAGAGGTGCCTCGGCTCAATGTTCCTTTTCACCAAAGGCATGGCTCACAATCTGGAATTTAGGGAAAAATGTGTGTTATATTTACAACAACAGAAATAAGAGCTATAAATCTGTACAGCACACGTCCACTTATTTGCTACAAAAAAATACTTCACTACTCTTATTTTCCAACCGTTGCTTCAGCCTCCCTGTTATAAGATATCATGCAATTTCTACAGAGGCACCGGAGTCGTATGCCCAAGCCAGAACACGACAAGATTTGTAAGCACGGCATATGAGCACAGAAGATAGGGTTGATGTACGTGCACCAAGTCCAAGGCAAAACACGTTAAGTTTTACTGCACAACCAGATCTGTTGTATAGTATACCTGTGGTGTACAGGATCACTGCATTTCAGTGCACATTTGCATTTATCTGGAAATGCCAAATCCCAAGGGGGCCACAGGAAAAAGCCCTGCCCGGAACGAGCTGGGTCTTGGCAAGGAGGGTCTGACCACAGCCACGCACCAACTCCCCTTACGTTTGTCCCATAATTACATCAGGTATTGACCAATCCTTCCTCTGAGAGTTTTCCATCAAAATGAGGACTCCTCTGACAAATAAGGGGCTAGCATCTAATCAATGTGATGGGAGGAGAGAAGGAAACAAGTTACAAATGCAATATTGCACAAGTAATTAGTTGAAGGCATTAGAACCCACATATCCAAAAAGATCAAGTTTCAGTGGGGGTTGTGGTTGTTTTTTTAACGGTGGGAAGAAGATTGTCTCCCAGAAATGCTGTTGAATGACAATTTGAGTTAGGTAAGAGTGTGTATTTAACATATTTTGGAAACATATGCCAAACTTGGGAGGACATATTCAGCAGATAAAACAAATGCTGTTAGGATTGGTATCTTGGAAAAATAAAGACTACAACGGGGAAAACAAATACAAAAAGAGATCTTAACGGATAACAAACGGGAGATAATAGCATCAAAAAAACCAGCCTTGAAAGTAAAGATGCCAAGTTTGGTTAGAAATCTCCAAAAAACGAAGGAAGACTGTATAATATAAACAGTTTTTAATGCCATTTAAAAAGAAAACTGCTTAACACAATTATGAGACAACTAGATTCGGTTTTTTTTTTTTGAACACTGACAAGTCAACATGCATGGACTACTTGAGAATAATAATCTGCTTAAAGATATTGCAGCACCAACATATCCTGGAATGACAAACTCACCGTGCTGGCATTTGGAAGACTTAATTTAAAATTTCTTTTTAATTGCACTAAAGTGATTAAAGTAACCTTTCCATTTCTCTTATTAAAATCATGTTAGTAACTTAAAAAGACCTTTTTGCTTTTCAGGTGTTATATAATAATTTTAGTACTGACTTTTCCCTGAAGGTTTAAAGCATTTTCTTCTCAATAATAATTCTAAAGAATACCTCAAGAACTCCTAACTAGCTACTAAAAAAGTAAATTATTCAACTTTAAGATGATTTCAGAATAGGCCAGGGAGAAACTGGCTCCCAACTTCCAAACAGTGGTCTTGAATTTTACTTTATACCTTTCTTAATATGAGACAGCTTATTTGAATATGCCATACTTAAAAGCCAGTTGAGTCTGATGATTTTTAAATAATAATCAGAGGTAATATAGGAAAACTTTTTCTATTCTGCAGTAGACCACTAAATACGCTTCTTATTTCTACTTTTTGTATTCCTCTACAAAAAGATGTATTTTTAAAATATTCTGTAGTATCCAATGCAGCCAGTTTTCTGAACTGGATCAAAAAATAGGTAAAAACTGGAAATTTATAATTATTAAAGTGTACCTTAGCAATACCACACTGTAAACAGGGTACTGCATTGCAATTATGGAGGACATAAAAGCTATTATGAGGAATTATTTAACTGTGCAAAGAAATGCTCATACACATGATTGGGAAGAAGTAGATCAGTAGGCACATAAATTAGTGTTATAACAGCCAATTCCAAATCTTACTATTAGTCCAACACACAGGATGCCATTAGGAATTTGGTTTTCTACACATCTGTTTCTCACTCTGGATTTCCTCTTTTGACTGAGCTTACTTAAATTATTGTATGAAAAGATTAGATCACCAGCAGGACAAAACCTGGTGTCCTGTGGCTATCTGTCTAGCATCCTCCGAGCTGGGTCCCCTCCTCACCTTTTGCAGGACACCCAGCTTTTCCCACTGCCCTGTGCAACGTGCTGTGGCCAGTCGGAAGACGTGTGGACGCTGTGGGGCCAGCTGCCTGCCACCTCATGAAATACCTAATCCCTTTCGTCAGGGGCACTGATTTGAGTCCCTCCTCCCCATTACGTTCTTCCTCCCCTCTAAACCCGACTCCAGTTTGCAGAAAACGCAGAAGTGTAGTTTGAGTGCTCCATTTTCTCCTCAATTCTTTGTGAGATTGTCCAATGTGTTCAAAAGCTAACAGGGTAGAGACAGAGTAACCCAAGAGATTTAATTTCCTTAAAAATCAGGCTAAAACACATACTAGTTCTAGGAGTATGGAAAAAACAAATTCCATTTTTGAATGCATCGTTTAAATTATTAATTAAGTATCCACCTCATATGACTGTGAAGTTAAATTCCAAAATGTAAACTTAACACTGATCATTAGATATATTCAATAGAATAAGCAATGCATTATGATTTAATGCTTCAAGACCAGAAAAAAAGGCATGAAATTGAGATTATGAATTTCCTCTAATTCAAAACCTACAGCTGTTTGAATCAACACTCACAAAGTTATTCAGCTTTAAAGTACACATTTCATATTTTTTAAACTTCTGACCTTAACTACCAGATAGTAGTAGTGGCAGTTATCACCATCTTGCAAATTTTTGTATTGCCCTACTAGAAATACAGCTGCCCTTCACATTTATTTATCATCTTAAATAAAACACGGTAACATATAACCCATCGGTAAGTAAAAATATCTCTTTTATTGTTTCCTTGCCATTAAAGTACTACTGCCCTTTTCTCCCCTGTACACAACTCAAAGAACCGTTTAAGGCAAATTTTACATTTTCATCAGAAGTGGGGCTAAAATCTTTTCAAAATACATGTAATAGGAGGCAGAAGATGAAATAAAGACAAAATAAGCCTCTGAATTACCAGGGCTCAGTTCAGACTGGGGCGAGAAGCATGCTGCACAGTGCGGAAAGAAAATAAAAGCGTTTCAGTAATCATGTAACTAACTATTTAATGTAGAATACCAAGCCGTTTCATAAACAAACTGCACAGAACCATCCTCAAACCAAAAAGAATAACCTGATGGAAGATAGAGATGCAAAGATAAGACATTTTCTTTAGCTCTATTTTATTATAGAGTCCAATCTGCTAGAATGAAGCTTGCTGGTAACTCTTTTTGCACTAAATGGAATTAGCGATTATATCCAAACAAATAATAACAATATTATTCCCTACTAATTCATATATTAGGAGTCACTAAGCAGGCTGGGTTATCACATTTTCCAGAAAACGGAAACCACACAGAGGCTGTTTTCCATAAAAAAAACATATCAGGGAATTAAAAAGAAACTTCCTTTGGCCAGCATTACGCAGTAAATTAGGTAGTTTAAAACTAGCTCTAATCTTACAATTTCTTAAGTCTTATGAGCTGTCTTCAATTGCGTTCCACATTCCTTTTTCACTTAAGTCACTCTACAGCCTGAGCTTATTATTCGTAGCAAAGACATCCATAATGAAGTCTACACTCTTTGTCCCTGTATTAAATACACTGATTCAGATTTTTGATAAATCTTAAGATTCTGCAGCACAGCTTCTTCCCTCCCATCCCCAAATAAGCAGAAAAAACAACTATTTGTCATGCATTTATGATCACTTCCAAGAACTAGCAGTTCACAAGACTGTGACCAATCACGGTTGATCAATATCTTGAATATTTTACTCTGGCTAAATAGATAGCATGATCATACACTTACAGATAGGAAAAATAGGTCAAAGCTTCAATCTGACATCATACAGTCCATAATTCAGAAAACTAGCAGTGTGTCCGAACCGTGAGTACAATTTAGTCACACTGAAGACATGAGTTGACTCATCTGCTTCAAGTTAAGCTCACTGGAGTGGCCACAGAAGAATGCGATAGGCTAAGCAGCAGCGCAGCAACATTCAGACCTTTGGGAAGATGCTCCCACGTCAGGCCACACACGGAGAATCCCTCGGGTGTCCAGGCATGAGGGCCGGCTGCATCTGAAGGCCATGCCCACACAGGGCAGGCGGCTGCATCCTGCAGTCGGTCATTTCCGGGGTCAAACCGTATATGCCAGATGCAGCTGGCCTGAAAGCCACCAGCTACATCTGGCACGAGAGATTAAGGTTCTGGAAAGAACCTTATAGGACTGCATCAGAAACGAACCAGGTGTTAGCACCACAGAAGGAAAGTGGGAGCAGGAGTCAAGGGGGTAGGAAGAAAACAAAGAGTGTTAAATGTCACTTAACACCTCACTAAATGCATGTGTGGCTTATGCGTAATGGTGTGTTGGATCAGGTGCAACATCTTGCTGGACTGAACTGTGATACTCTGGAGGCTGGTTTGGAGCACAAATGGGCGTTGCTTTCCAAACCCTACAGACATGAGCAAGTGCACAGTTAATTATACATATGTTTAATTTCCATGCACATTCTAAAAGGACAGAACACCAGGAACTTGAATTCGCTCAGACCAGTCCGTTAAAAAAAATCACATGAGGTGTGTTCCCTCACTACTCTCACTTTCCTTTTTCTTTTTTTCCGTAACAACTTGCATAACTGTCTTCTGTTTTAAAATTAGAAGGCACTTATCCAACAGTTATCACTTTCTTTACCCTTCTTACATTAAAGCAGTAAGTGACAAATTTTTGCTTTTCTTTCTATGCTTTTCTTGCTGTTTGAGGAGCATGTTTCCAGAACAGCTTAGACGACCTTTCTGTGGGTGGCTGTAAAGTTCACAAACTGCTAAATTGCGTGTAAAAAGTATGACATTGTCCTGGCAAGTCAGATTTAAAAATCAAGGGGAAAGCAGATGTGCAG